GAGAAGAGCTCTAGAGATCTCCAGTGGTGAAAGGCAGAACTATAAAAGAAAAGGGCAGAATTCCAGGAAGGTGTAGAAGAAAAGTTGAGACCAGAGAATCATCTGGGAATTGGAGAACAGTGAGGCAGTCAGGAGAGACCTGTGTGCATGCCAGGTCAGTGAAGAGAGGAACATAAAATGAGACAAGGCTGAGGCCATAACCAGACAGGAGACCTGAGAAGCTCGAATTTGACAAGGAAACAAGGAAGGCAGAAAGAATGTAGGGGAAAAGATTGATCCTATGCTAGAAGTTATGTCAGAATTTTGCTTCTGATGCTTAATTTTACTTATATTTGCATTTCTCTTATGGCTCAGTGATGAGCCTTTGCTAGAGCTACAGGAGTATAATACAAAAATAACAAGAATGATCGGAAAATAAATTGGTTCATACAGATATTAACAGAAAGTGAACCTACCCAATCTAATTCGGCCCAGCACTGGCCACAAATGAAAATGACAGTGGCTGCAAGTCACTTTTCTGGTATTCTCACTCTCCATTTCCATGTGTTCAATTATTTACTCAACAGCTACCAAAGGTAAAGCTGCTACCTTGTACTAGGATCTTGGATAATAAAGGGAAATAAGTCATTGTCTGTAAGCAAATTTTCACAGACTATGGGGCAGACAACTAAAAACAATAGCGTGTCGAGAAGTGCTATGATAAACATCACAAAACAAAATAGAGGGATTCTTTTAGCCATTTTCCAAATATATCCTTCCCGTCCCTTAGCTCTGTCAATTCATTTCACCTGGAAAACACCATTTCCCGGCCCTCCCTGGTGGCGCAGCGGGTTAAAGCACAGCACTGAGAATCTGAAGCCACTTCCGCATGAGTTCGATTCCCGCCTGCCTCCTGCCCAGGAGGAGACCACATGGCGAGCCAGACCTCTCCTGACCCGCCCGCTGCTCCCCTCAGCAGTGTACTTTGTCAATCTGCCTGTTCTGCTCCCACTCTGTCTCTGGTGAAGCCTCTCACCGCCCCTGAGCCTCTGGCCTGTACCCCAGTTCTGTATGCACAAATAAATAAATAAATCTTAAAAAAAAAAACAAAAACAAAAAAAAAACACCATTTCCCATCCTGACCCCCAGGTCACACCTTTAAAATGTTTACCATTCTTCAAATACCTGGTTAAATGTCATTTTTCAACATAATCACTAATTTTAAAGGCTGGAATTAATCTTTCCATTCTGTGTACTTCTATAACACTTTCTTTATATTTCTGTTTCAATATTTACCTAACTAGTTTTTCTAAAAATTATGGATGGTGAAATACACTTACATATGCACAACTGATCACGGACTGGGCATAGAGATTTCTTAAGGTGTATGTAGGCCTCAGTCATTTAGAAAATTAATCTCCGCCCTCTAAGGATGCTGGTATAAGTGAACTCTGCTTCACTCTGGCACTTGTTTGCAGATGACAAAAATAATTTTCAAGAGGCATAAAATAAATGGCTTGTATATATAAAAAGACTCTTCTCATCTCTTCATATATTTGGACAGAAAACAGGCAAAACCAAAAATAAACCAACAAACCCTCAAATTAATCACGGAGTTTTTAGTCTGGAAAGGCCTCTATATTCATTTAATTCAACATCTTAACTATAAATGAGGAAACTAAGTACCAGGAAATTTAGATACGTCTTAGGTATCTCGCAGCCAGAATCAACAATATCAAATTTCAAGTTTCTCAAATTCAGCATTCTTTCCCATAGACCAAGTAGTTTCCCTTTAATAAAAAGAAAGGAATGAGCATGATTTAAAATAGTAAAAAAAATAGCACTAAAGTATATAGAAAAGAATTCACTGAAAAGCTGTACAATTATTAGAAAGTGTTTCCCAATCAGTACATCTGTCCGTAAAGAATATACTTTTTCATCAGTGAAGGTGTTTGTAGAGCTCAAAGTTTTAATTAAAAAATGAATTTTGTAATTTCCAGATGTTTTAGCTTTAGGGTTTCTAATGACTCTATACAGTTGGCAATGCAAATTGTTATATGGTTCTTTTCCAAGATATTGCAATGTGTTTGGGTGAGCCTGGTCATTAACAGGTGTTCTTAACAGTTGTGGAAGAAGAATAATACATCAAGGCTTTTCTGAGAAGTGAGCAGTCACACATGTTCTCTGCTATCATGAGGCAAATGAAGCACATGTACCCAAATCCGACATAGTTTTACTCCATTTCAGTTCTGCTACTGTGTAGAGAACGCTTGCCTTTTCCTGTGTGGTTGCTGCAAGATCCCTATCCTGACCGGTCTGACCCAATCTAGATAAGCATAAGCAAAAAGTGCTCATGCACACACATGTGGACACCCCCCTACACACACACACACACACACAGAGGGGTCTAAGCATATTTTGAACTTAAAACTTACCTGGTTCTAATTCTAAACATAGATGATTATATAATCCTAAGCAAGGATACATATACATACACATACACACACAAATAAATTACATACAAACACGGATATACATATATATATATACACACACACACACAGAGTGATATATAATCAATAAAGACCATCTAGCTTAAAACTTCTTTCACTTTCTGGTACAGAGGATGATCGCTGAAACTGACTTTCTGTTAGGTGCTACCTTCACCACCATCACCTCTACTCTCCACTTCTGAGGGTTAGTGCGTGTGCTTTGGAACCAGTTACACAGGGGCTTAAATATTAGTTTTGCTATTTGCTATTTGTGTGATCTTGAGAAAATGACTTAACCTCTCTGGGCAATAATTTCCCTATTTCCAAAATGAAGATGTATCATGGAGGTAAGATTTGATGCGATATATGCTAATGATGCATGGTAATTCTCAGGCAAGAATACTACTGTGAAGATGATAAAGAGAGTAAAGAAAAAACAGGTGAGGGGGAGGAAGATGGTGGTCTCTACTTCTTGAATACCTTCTGTATTTCAGTATTTCTCAGCAAAGCTGGGCAGAACTTTTAGTGGGGAATACTAGCTTTAGGTATAGGAAACACTAGTGGTGGTGGGGTAGGTGGGAGGGTAGATGTTCCTTGAATGGCTAGCACGGAGTATGAGATTTTCCTGTCTCCAGAAAAAAAAATTATATATATATATATATACACATATATATATATATGTATGTGTATATATATATATATATATCACACATGCCCGTCTGTGTCTGAGAAAGGGGCATTCACAGTGATGTATTCTTTTGAGAAATCATTTTCTTTGCCTAGAATAACTAGACTCCACAAAGCAATGTGAACAAGTTCCTGTGTCCCCCCCTCACCCCCACAGTGGCTAATGACAGAATTTCTAGCTACAGCAGCAGACCTGGCTATTTGTTCCTACTGTGAGATACCATGTAGACTGCAGAACAAATGGCCAGCTGCTTCCTAGAGCCATGGAGTCAGAGTACACAGGCAAGTCAGGAGCAAAGCTGCTGCTGTGGCTTGAAATATTCCAAGTAAAATAGGAAGGAGGAAGCCCCAATCTACCCCTAAATGATAAGAATCATTTAGAGCCTGCCTAAGATGCCATTCTGTTTGCAAACACATACTACTTGCCATATGACACACCAAAACATACTACTTGCCATATGACACACCAAAACAATTCCACTGGAAAGCCTGAAGACAAATGACTAATGTTAAAAGAGGCCCGTGTATTATTTTGGAAATGACTCCACAGGCATCAATTAAACATGGAAAAGACCTGTTCTGAAGTATGACCATCTGGCATTTTCCAAGGAGCTGTAAAAAAATGGCTGGTAAAACACAAGTGATCATAACTATAAAGGGATTTAGCAGCCTTCTCCTTGCTCAAAGGCAGAAAGAGTCCATGAGGACAATGAACCTGGAAGAAGTCCAGTAGAGGAGGCGAGCAAGGAAAAAAACTGTGTCTGAAGCCAGCACTGTTCTCCCTGCATAGAAAGCAGAGACCTGGGGTTGCATGAGGTCATCTTTTCAGGCCACCAAAAAGGCAGACTGCTCCCAGGGATGCTTGGAAGTTTGGTGCTCATTGGGTGAAAATAAATCGTTAAGCCTTCAGGTGAGAGACAGGATTGGCAGTGGTCCATCTCTGTCGCAGAAATGCCTGCTAAGTACCAGCATCAACCATTATGTCCAGAACCCTTGGCCAAGAGCACTGTTGTTCAAAATCCTTCCTTAGAAAACTTGCTTTAAATCAGCATTTGAATGGAAGACACACTGAACAAAACTGAGAGTGATGACAAAGTATAAAACTCCCAGCATAGATGCTATGGTTACACCTGACATGCTTTTCAATTTTCAAGGCTGTGGTTCTAGATCGTGGTTCTAGATCAGTTAGAGAGACACCTGTGTAGATATAGACAAAGCTTCCAACATCACCACCTTATCACACCTAATGACTGCCTGTGACAAAAAACTTACATTCCCTATTTCTGGCTTTTCTGACATCAAAACATGTATTTTATATTCAGTTCTGACTCTGAATCTATTCTCTAATGATAATGTGGTTATTTGTTTCTTTCTCCAGTATGAACAATGAGATAATAAGGGCAAAAATACTTTAAATTTTGATGCAGACTTAAAATTAATGACTTTTTCATTAGCTTCATCTTTCCTTTTTCAAGCCACCAAATAAATGCACTCATGTGCATCTCTTCCCCAACACTAAGAAAAGAACAGATAGAATGAGACTATTAAATGAAAACAATAAAAAAAAAAAAACACACAAACAAACAAAAAAAAAACGCACTTCCATTCTCCAAAGTCCCCCTCTCCCTTTTTGGGGGCCAATGATGCAGTGTGCTTAAGTCTCTTTACTGCAGCTGCTTCAGCTTTTAAGTTTTTGGTCTGGAAATTAAAAGAGGTTTAGTTAAGGCCACCAACAATTACTTTTCTCAGCACAATAATAGTAAAGCAAAACAACCCATGAACGGCAACACAACACTAAAATGGCAGAATTAAGCACGGTGGGAACAAGTAGAAATAGAATACCTGGGATTGCCAGTTGGGAGAGGGGGACGTTGTGCAGGTGAGGGGGGAGCGAGGCCATCCAGTCAGCATTGCAGACCTCCGATGATGTCTTTGTCCCGCTGGTGTTGGGAGAGCAGATGGTCCCCATCCTGAGTTTCCTCCTCACCTTTCTAACTGCTAGCATCCCTCGCTGTCAGTCAACAGATGGCCCGGGTGCAGCCCAGTGCCACTCACTCAGTGATCATCATTGTCCGGGCTCTCTGGACACCTCAGGGCCACCTTTGTCACGCCAGTCTCGTCAAAGGCCTTTCCTGCCAGGGAGACGGGGCAATAGGTGGTTTCCCTACCCACCAGCACCCGCACGCCCCACCCCCTCTGGCCCGGTTGCTGGTCTACTCCTTTAATCTGCTCAGTCCCGGCTCCGTTAAACTTCTCACGCCCCCCTCGGGCGCTGAGGGAAGGTAGGCCCCTGGTGGGAAATCTTACAGAAACTGGAAGTCCGACGAGCAGCCACGCCCGGAGCCACTCACGGCAGGTGCCCACTCAGCATAGAGACAAGCCGGTGGGTTTCTGCACACGTGAGCGCCCGCCCGCATCCCCGTCAGCCGCATGTGTGCTTCCGTGTGTGTCACCTGCCTGCTACCTACGAGGGGCCGGTCTGCCGAGCTCCCGGGCTCCTGCACTGACTCCGCTGCCCGGTGGCTTCCCGAAGGCGCTCTGAGGAGTAACCAGCTGTGCCCGCACGCCCGGCAACCCCGCCCCCGCCAGCCCCGCCCAGCACTGCCGGGCAGATTTGCCGGGAGAGGCGGCCGCTGATTGGCCACCGGCGGGGCGCGCGCGGATTGGCCGGCGCCCGCTTGGGCTGCCCTGGTAGCGGCTCCCACCCTCCCGCGCCGCGCGTGTCCTCTCTGCGGCTGCCCGCACTTGCTGGCAGGAAAACTTGCAGGCTTGGGCTCTGGGACCTGACGGGTCTTTTGCCCGTTGGCTTGTCACGCAGTCGGAGCCCAGAGGTTAAACGTGACCGCAGATGTTTCTTTCCTTCCTTCTTTCCCGAGAGAGAGAGAAAGAGAGGAGGAGGGCGAGGAGGGGAGGAGAATGGGAGAATGAATTACATTTTCAAACGGCTAAGGCGGTAGAAATATGAGAGAGAAAGAGGCTGAGAAAGGCACTATGGCGGGCCTCCCTGGAGTCAGGGGTTAAAGTCTCATCTCAGTGCTATCAAGCTATAGCCAGCAATAGAGGCACGAGTTCCATCCACGGCCAGGGAGCAGGCCACACATGGCTCAGCAGACCAGTCCTGACTCACCTGTTGCTGCCCTCAGCAGTGTATTTCAGTAGATCTGTCTATGATGCTCCCCACTCTATTGCTGATGAATCCTCTCCCGCACCTCTAGTCTACATCCCAGTTCTTGCATGCATAAAGAAAAAGAAAGGCACTATATCTCATATTTGGATGACAGCATCAAAGCTGGTTTGAATCTCAATCCTTACATAATTCAGGTTCACCTACGTACCACTTTGCAGCAGTTCTGTGATATTCTCATTTTTCGGAGGAGGAAATCATGATACTGTGATAACTGTAAATTTGCATTGCTATATTGTTTAGAATCTCCTTCCATGTTTGCTGCCATGACCTCCCTTTCATAAATGCAAATTCTGAGGAATTAAAATAGCAGTTCATGTGATGGCACTAATTGGAAATCCTATTTTAGAACGAGACCCTCAAACCAATTGGCTTGTCAGCATACACACCCTCTCACCTACTTTCTGTAACGTCGCCTACCTTTTCCATGGTGGTAAACTATAGGGTCCCTAATGAGACGAAAACTTTGCACACTGATAATCACAGGAACGTCTTGGCTAACAGACAAACCAAGCTAACCACCCTGGCTTTGAGAGTGGCCCCTGGGGGCTTGAGGGCAACCCCTCAGTGACTCCTCTGGAGGTCAGTAAACAGCAGCCTACTTCCAGAGAAGACTGAAGGCTACTATGCAAGATCTGTACCCCATTTCCCATCAACGCCTGCACCCCACCTACATTTCAGTATCTATAGTGTTTGCTGTAAATTGTCCTTCTGACATCTTATTAAAATGTTCTCTTGCAGATCCGTCTTAACATTCATTTAAACTGATTTTCAGCCTTTTGAGCTGCATAATATTACCAAGATCTTCCCCATATTCCTTGATTAATAAAATATACTCCATTTATCATGTATCTTCTGGTGTTTAAAGGGCACTTCAGTGTAATGTTCTGTTCATCAAGTACCTTGCAGGATATCGGAAATATGCCACCTAGCTGCTTGTGTCAAAAAATATGTATTTTTTTTCCTCTAGAAAAATCATTCTGTGAAGAAATATCTCATGGTTTACTTTTGATATGTCACCTTTCTGGACTTCTTTTGAATTTATTTATTTATTTTATTCCTAAATGCAAAACATTCTGGAAACTGCCTAAGGTGAACAGAATGCATTCTTTAATTTCTACAGTGAAATGTAAATTTTTTTAAAAGATTTATTTATTTATGTTTACAGAACTGGGGTATAGGCCAGAGATGTGGTGGGTGAGAAGATTCACCAGAGACTGAGTGGGGAACAGAACAGGCAGATATACTGAAATACACTGTTAAGGTCAGGAGAGGTCTGCCATGCCATGTGGGTCACCTCCCTGGCAGGGGGATCGAACTTGTGCTACAGTGTGGCTTTGGAGAACTCCATAATGTGGTACTTTAATCCATTGTGCCACAGGGGGAGCCCAGAATGTAAATTTTAATGCTTGTTTTTCCCCTTATTTTTTTCACCTCTTTAATGGAAGAAGTGAACATACTATGAAAACTCTTGACTGAGAGACACCACTGTGTGAGCACTCAAAAACAAGAGAAGTGGAAGCAATCAGAATGAGATGTTTTGCACATCTGTATCAGCAACTCTTTCAATCACAACTATGTGATTTTCCCAAAAAGGGGGGGGGTTAAAAAGAGACAACAGCCCCCACTTCCTTCCTTCCTGAAGAAAATTTTGCACATAAAAACATAATATTTGGCTTATAGCAGGTCCTTAATAAATATTTGTTAGCAGGATGGAGATGCTTTCTAAAACATGCTATGTTGGGTTCTCAATAGTACCTTTAGGCAGTGACTTTCAACCTCTAATGTACAAATCAATCACAGTCTGATTGAGGTGGTCTGAGATGGGTCCAAAATTCTGCATTTCTAACAAGTTTCTGGTCTTAAATGCTGCTGCTGATTCAGATCACACATTTCTGGGCCTTGAAAAAAAGACTAATCTTTAATACGAAGGAATAAGTATTGTCTTTTCTCTCTCTTTCCCAAGGTTTTATAATATTTTAATATTATTTTTACAACTAAAACAATTTACATTAAGAATCCCAGCTAAGAATTCCTAAGTATCGAGGATTACTTTATAATAACAAAATTATCACTGGGATTTTTATATTATGGCACAGGTATTTAGGGAAACATTATTTTGAGATAAAAATTAACATCCAGAGTGTGCACACTGTATTATAAAATTTATAAAATGGAAAAAGTGACTAAGTTGAAAGGATTGAAATTTTAAAACGAATCAATTTTAATTAATAACTAGAACCAATCAATTATAAATGTAGCCAGTGGCTCCTAGGAATGGAAAAAAGTTAAATAAATGTTGCTTCTGATTAACCTCAGATAATAATAATAATAGGAATAAAAAAAAGAAAAAAAGAGACTGGAATAAGTGAGTACAAGATATAATGGGAGATGGAAGGTAGGTTGTAGAGCTATGTGGGAAGGACAACAGAGAAGACTATGAAGAAGTGGAGGAAGGCTAATGGTTACACTTCTAGAGGAAGTAGCACTAAGCCAGATGTGGGATTCAGAGTGTTGTTTCTGAAGTAAAAAATAGTTCTGGGTGTGTGGGAGAAAGGTGTAGCTGAAAAAAACATAGGCAATGCTCTATGATATAAAAAACAGACCATATATTAGAGTGAAGTCACGTGGAGTAGTGGGAACTATACTCAGTAACAGATCCTTTATAAGACCAGGTGGATTAGGTACTATTCCTATTACCATTTTACGAAGAACACTAGAGCTTAGAGGCTACATAATTCTGCCCTAGATCTCACAGCTGGGTAGTGGCAGAGCCACGGCTCTTGGTTGCTGTGCCAGAGCATCCATTAGATGCATTAGATTATAAACCCGAGAAAGTCTGTTTATGACCAAAGCATATTAAAGAGTTTAGGCTTAAAAAAATCCATAGACAGGGTCATCCCTGGTTGCGCAGCAGGTTAAAGCACAGTACTACGAAGTTAGCTCAGCCACTTCAGCACAAGTTCCAACCCTGGCCTGGGAGGTGACCCACATGGCACAGCAGACTCTCCTGTCCAGCCCGCTGCTCCCCTCAGCAATATACTTTGTCGATTCACCTGTTCTGCTCCCCACTTTGTCTCTGGTGATTCCTCTCATCCCCTGCACCTCTGGCCTGGGTAACCCTGTTCTGTGTGCAGAAATAAAGAAATCATTTAAAAAATTTATAGACAAAGGGGCACATGCAGATTTTGGAGAGGGGAAGCAAACTGATTCCTGTTGTACTTTAGGAAGGTAACTCAAATGAAGCATGGTTGGAGAAACAGTCTCTCTAGCAAATCACTGAAATTAGCTATCTAAGGAGAAAATGAGAGCAGGTAGAGGCCCTGGCACACAGAATAAATGTATGGCCCTTTTGAACTACAGTGATGGTTCCTCTGTCCCTATTTCTCATATTCAAGAACCTGTAATTCTGGGGCTTGCAAGAACAGCCTAACTACCTCTGAAATTATTTTTCATTATTAGAAATTCCCATTAAATTGTTCATTCATGTTAGATATGACAAAATCTGTTTCTGTGAAAGTATCTATAAATTTTATTTTATTTTCAGCAAAATTATTCTTATTTCATCAAGGGTCACACAGAATTCCTAAAGAGATGACTCTAAGTTTGCCTGTCTTCTCTTGGATGTTGCATTATATTTTGAAAAAACCAAAACCAAACCAAACCGAACCAAAACCCCAAGGATGGGTCATTTTCTTTATATTAATGACAGAAATGAACAGTGAGTGTCCCAGAGAAGCCTAAACAGCATACTATCTTGGCATGCCTGGTTGGCAGGATGAGAGGATCTGGACTTTACTTGATTGATGGCACCCTAAGAGTCTCAGAAGAAGTATATGAAACTGTTGACACTAGGCTAGGGCTTTCTCTGCTCCCTCCCAACCTCCCAATCCCATTTAAAAAAGGTCCCCCTCTACCTTACCTTCACGTCTTCATGCGGTATAAGAAAGGAACATTCTTTAAGCAGAATCAGAACCCAGGCATGTGTTTGGTCCAGGAAAACTTCCTGGAGGTGAGTGATGTCAGATGATGCTTTGAATTCCACAGTGATGTCTCATTCTGTTCACATTTTCTTTTTCTTGACTGGAGGGCGTGGGGAGGGTAAGGGACTGAAATGAGGAGCCAGCTGAATGAAAGATAGTATGGGATACCATATTTGTTTTGTGCCTCCTTTCAACAGAATATAGCAGTCATCTCCCACTTCTTTTCCCCAGTTCAAGCCCCAAAGCAAGAATCACAGAAGAATGGAAACCTGCCACTAACATGGCAGTGCTGGGGACACTATGACACAGTAACAATTGACTCTAGGAAGAATGACATCATTGTAGCAGTTGGAGTAAGGAGGA